ATTGGTCAGGCATGATTTGCCCTTGCTGAAGTCATGCTGGTTGTCACCTTCTCATTTTCCATGTGCCTTAGCATAGTTTCAAGGAGTATCTGCTCCATGATCTTGCCTGGCACTGAGGTGAGACTGACCAGCCTGTAGTTCCCCGGGTCTTCCTTATTTCCCTTTTTAAAAATGGGGGTTATGTTCCCCTTTTTCCAGTCTGCAGGAACTTCACCAGACTGCCAGGACTTCTCAGATATGATGGATAGTGGCTTTGCAACATCATCTACCAGTTCCCTCAGGACCCTTGGATGCATCCCATCGGGTCCCATGGACTTGTGCACCTTCAAGTTCCTTAGGTGCTACTGAACCTGATCTACAGTGGGCAGCTTTTCATTCTCCCAGACCCTTCCTTTGCTTTCTAGGACTTGGGCAGTGTGGCACGAGCCCTTGTCAGTGAAGACTGAGGCAAAAAAGTCATTGAGCACCTCAGCCTTCTCAGTGTCCCAGGTGACCAGGTCTCCCATTGCCTTCCGGAGAGTGCCCACATTTTCCCTAGTTTTCCTTTTCTCCCCAACATACCTGTAGAAGCTTTTTTTCAAGTTTTGTTCACTTGAATGCTTTGGTGATTCCATTAATTAATAGTGCAGGTTGTTCTAATGCTGAATAGAGCAGAATAGTAGCAAAGAGTAGATTCTTGTCTAGATTTTTTCAGTCAACTCCAAATCATGGGACATTGACATGCTTATTAGGGCCCAGGAATTGGGACTGGAGTATAGGAAGCTTTACTGAAGAAATAAAAGACTTCCCCAGTTCAGTTTTATTTGGCATATGAAAAATATTGCTGTTTCACTCTGTCAAAACCTTTCTTGAATGAAATTACTACATCTGAAAATGTTGTTTTATTAATCAGCTGATTTCCTGAACCACCAAGTAATGAGTCTTATTTGATTGCAATGGAGAGTGTTATGTATTACCTTTTCAAGCCTCTTGAGGGGAGCAGTGTCTGTAATCATATCCATATAAAGAAGAATGAAGTTTGCAGAAGAGTATTTGGGGTTGGAAAGTGAAAAACCATGTGATCTCAGGGCAAAAAATTTAGACATCAAGAGAGGAACATTCAGAGCCTCACAACCAATTTATCCCATGGCTTACACGAGCCAAGTTATTGACCTAAATATGTTTCTTTGGAATGTTTTGTAACTCCTGCTATAAGGAGACTGTGATTATAATCAGTCATGGATGGAGCAATGAGGTTGTGAGTAGAATGGGTCTCCTCGCACAGAGTTAGCATCAGAGGTGACTGCTGAGACTCCCAGCAAGAATCAGGAAAATCTAGCCATTTTACAGTTTACCTGAGCCTTGAAGGAAGGAGATGTCCTTTTTAATCTAGGCTGCATTGCTATGTTGTTGGTAAATCCAAGATCTGGTGGTAGCTGTGCTATGTTTAACCTTTTTTTTTTTAACATTTTGTTATTATAGTTCGGTTTGGCAGCAGTAAAATTGACACAGATCTGATCAATCGAATAGAAAGAGCTATTGGGCAAAAACCTCACCACTTTCTACGTAGAGGAATCTTTTTTTCTCACAGGTGAGTTTTTCTTGTTTTTAAATTCAAAAAGGTCTTGATTAGGTAGACTTTCTATGAGCATTATTTGGAAAAACCTATGACCAGTAAAAGACCACCAAGGTAAACCAACTGTGTCATTTGAAATTAGCAACTACTGCAGATTTCCCTTGGCAACATTTGAAACTCTTGGTTGCATCAGTTTCTGATACATCCTCACTAATCCCAAAATGAAGAAGTGGGCACAGAGCCTTTGCTCTGTACAGGTTCCATTTTGACTCTGCATCAGCAGCCAGACAGAAGAATTGGCCTAGCAGAGAACTCCAGGGCTCATATGGTGTCACTGCTCATTTCAACAGGGGTTCTGTGGGCCTATGCACCTGTATTGTTACATAAAAAAGGCTCAGGGAATAATCTTAAACACCAGCCTGCCAGTCATCTGCACTGTTTAATTGTTAACATGCGTGGGCTTTTGGACTATGGCAGCTAGCACATTTCAGATAAGTGCCTGAGCATGATTCAGGGCATAACCTCCACCAGAGACCATTCCAAGCTGGTTATTTGAACCTATTTGGGAAATGATTCCCAGCTCTGTTTTACTGGGCCTTAGAAATTATTATCAAATTAAGTCATTTTAAAAGTTGCACCTTTTTTAATTTTAATTTAAATCTTAAATTTTAAGGTTGAGGTTTTTTCATGGAGACTGAAGGAGACACTTTTCTTAAATTAAAAAAATGAACAAATAAAACTTTTATATTTTTCTAGGACACTTAACATACTATATTTTATTTATAGATGCATTTGGCTTTAAAAGCACTCAAAGTTTGAATAGAAGCTTTTTGCTGTAGTTGTTTCTTCCTAAGGAGTTACATCATGTTTTCTCTGTTTTATCTTTAGAGATATGGACCAAATCCTTGACGCTTATGAAAATAAGAAGTCCTTTTACCTTTATACAGGCAGAGGGCCATCCTCTCAGGCAATGCATGTTGGTCATCTTATCCCATTTATATTCACAAAGTAAGTTCTTTCTACCATTTGTATTAGCAAAAAAATTTTTATGAGGAAACGTTGAATGTGCTCTGTGGAACTGCCAAAATGATACATTGCAAGAAGCTCTGTTTATTTGAGGTGAATATTAATAAACTTAAACAATGCAATCCTATCTTTTCACTAAAATTATTGTAATCCCTGTGTCACGACCATAGAACCCTCTCCTTACACCCTTAATCCTGTGGCACTTATTAGAATTTTTGTTCTTCTTAAAAATGTGTCTGTGATGTGACTCAACAACGTTACTCTATAATGTGGTGCCTGCAGCAGCAGCACACAAAGACATTGGACTCAGAGTTAAAAGTCTCTTTGAATTCTGTTTCCATTGTAAATGGAGACTGCTGTCATAGGTGCAGGAAACAAGGGTGAGTCTTTTTCCAGGTAAGTTGTCAGTATAGTCTGTATAAAATGTTTATTCTGTTCACATAAACACAACTGCATATGCATCCAAGGAAAAGAGAAGCAGACCTCTTTATAACCTTTTGTTTAAATGTGTAAATATATTTTAGCTGCATGACTTATGTCTTCATTTTAACTTACTTCAAGACAAAATCTTTCTGCTTTTATTAGGTGGTTGCAAGAAGTATTTGATGTTCCCTTAGTTATACAGTTAACTGATGATGAGAAATACCTTTGGAAGGACCTGACAACTGAGAAGGCGTATGAATATGCTAGAGAAAATGCAAAAGACATCATTGCATGTGGTTTTGATGTCAATAAAACCTTTATCTTTTCTGATTTAGACTATTTGGGGTAAGTATAAATTTCTTTAGGGTATTATAATGAAAAAAGGTGTTCGTATTTTCTCTCCCACTTTGACAGCCAGCAATGTTTTAATAAATGTATTTAAATTTGAAAGCTTCAAGACAAGTTTTACAATATTTAAAACAGAAACTTCTTAATTATTCTGCTAACATTTTGTATATATTCTGTTTTCATTCTTCTGTATAATACATGAACAAATACTTGTGTGCGCAATTCTTAAATTTGAATTATGAAAAATATATTAAACCAGATAAATTGTAAAAACACCTAAACCACCAAGAAACCTCCAGATTTATTTGTGTAAGATGGTATCAAATTTTTTGAGATTTGTTTACACTTTATCTACATTAATGAAAGTCATTTCATCAACTTGTGGTAGTCAAGTAGTTTAATAATACAGCATGAAAGATTATTATTTGAACTTTGAGTAAAGTTTAAAGAATATTTCAGAAAAACAAACTGCTATTGGAACTGCCTTCTCAGAAGGAAGAAGGGTTTTATGGCAGAGTTTAGAACTGAAGTCGTGGGCTTTGTTCTTCCATGTGGGGTGATGAGCTTCCTTAAAGACTTGGATAAGAGAACGTGTGTTTTAGAGACACAGTGTATAACATACAGCCCCGAGAATGTGGAGCCTGCAAAGCGGTTTTTCCTCCTTTCACTTCCTTGACCTTCCTGCCTTAGAAAGGTTGCATTAGCCCACATCTGCCCTGTGACTGAATGTGGGCAGGTCAGAACTGCTGTTCCTTTTGCTTCAGCTTTTCAGCAGAAATAAAAGGAAGAAGTTACTGAGCTGTTTTTGATTTGGAAATGCTGTGCTGTATTTGCTGACAGAGCAAGTCCAACCAGGCAATTTAGCCTGTAGAAAATGAGAATTTGGAGGATTTGAGCTGCTATTCCTTTGGTGAACTGCAGTGTCCTATGTGGGATATACACTTGGGGATACTGAGCAACACAGAAGACATGATCCATTCAGGTTACCTGAGTTCAAAGAGAAGCATGAGGATAAGTAAACTTCAGGCTCCGTGAAGTTTGGTGCACTTTGGCACCATTTCCAAATCAAAATATTTCTGAGTTTAGACAGTTAATTGTGACAAAAATTTGCAGAAAATTTTGGGGGGAGGGAAGAATAAATTCAAGTTTCAAGGCATAAAATTCTTTTTTGTAAATAATTAGCTAACTATCATCTTGATGGGCCACAAAAAGACCAAAACAGTGAGATTTAATCCTGCAGGTTTTTTACATTCTCATCTTTCGGAGTGAAAGTTTCTACCTACATTTTTCTGCTTTTGACTTCTCTTTTTATTTTTCCACTTTCTTTCTCACAGAACAAGTACTGGATTCTACAGAAACATCGTCAAAGTTCAGAAGCATGTTACATTTAACCAAGTGAAAGGAATCTTTGGCTTTACAGACAGTGATTGCATTGGTAGGAAATAATATGAGTTACTAAAAGTGATACTTGCTTTCACCTTCTATGGCACTATTTAAGTAATTACTTAAAGAGATTAGTATCTGTCACTCATTAAACAAACAGGAAAAGCATGAAGATCCTTGTTTCTAGGCTGATTGTAAAAGCGTGTTATTGTGGTTCCTTTAGTATAGAAGACACTTTACAGTGGAATTTCTAGCATGATACCTACCTTTTTGGCCTCAGTAACAGCTAAGTACAAAACACCAACACTGGAATGTTGGAAGTGCCCAGGAGAGAGAACTTTTTTTTTTTTGATAGTGATTGCAGCTATAGTCAGTTATGCCTCCTAGAAATTTCTATGCCAAAAGTATATAGAAGCTTTTCTTTTCAGAAAAATTTACGTTAGTACACGCATGCATTTACATATATGGGAAGGTTAAGAAGCATTCAAAAGCCTAATTAATTGTCAAGGTGCTGGGTAACTCTGACTTCCATTTACTTCACTGCAATTGCAAGTTTCTATCACATTAGCCAAAAAAAGATGCTGTGTCAAAGATAGCATTAAAACTTTGGCATTTCTGAGCATTAACATCGTTCTTTGACCAGTAATTGGGCCAGTGACAGCTTTTCGGCCTTCACTGTAACCAAGGAATAGATTGCAACTTCTGTCTTAACAGTGCTCTAATGAAAGTTGCTGTTGTGATGAATTCATTACATGTTTGTAAAAATCTGCTATTTGCTTTCTGTTCTGAGAGGATTTTGGTAAGGGAAGCAGGTTGGTCACTCTGATTAAAAAAGAAAACTAGATACATCTGAGATGCTTTGTGAGTACAGCATGCATATAGCAATGATTCTAGGATAGTAGAGGTGAACTTGCCTGATAAGTAGCTCTTACAGCCATTCTCTCACAAAGAGAAAAAAAATGAACAGCTCAGAGTGATGATATAATTAGTTGTATTTCTGGGAAGGGTAGGTAGTTCAGTGATGAAGAGAGTATGCACTGATGAACCTTTCCAGAACCTTAGTGATCACAACATGCCTTTTTTCATTAGTTTCCATGTTAGTTGAAGGTTTGTTGACCTCATAGAAGGTAAAGATGAAAAAGTTTCCTCAGATAAGCAACACTGCTTGATAAAGATAGACGTTGGTCTTCAACTGAGTATCTGAATGATTCACTTGTGCATTTTACTGATTGCAAAAAGTTCTCTCTATTTATTATTGCTTGTATCGGTTTCTCAGCTTTTCCAAACATGTTTTCTAGGAAAGATCAGCTTTCCTGCTATTCAAGCTGCTCCATCCTTCAGTTCATCATTTCCACAGATCTTCAATGGCAAGGAGAACATTCAGTGTCTTATCCCATGTGCTATCGATCAGGTAAGAAAATCAAATTACTGAATTTGGTTTTCAAGGATTTGTTTTTGTAATGTACCATCAAGCTTCATGGTGGTATATCAAAACATCTGTAAAACATTCCTGCAGGCACTTTTCTTGGGCAGAAGCTGGAAGAGATAAAAGAGTGTTGTGCAGTGTTTTGATGAAGATGAAGGTTTAACCCAACAGTCATGTATTCATGCATTACTTATTTTTGCCAGTCTTGCATCTATCTTGGTCTCAACCCAGTTCACAGTGAGCTGGCATCTATGAAAGCAAAGGCAGTAAAATCTGTGCAAAAGTATACTGACATGGGGGTAGGAAGAAACTTTTGGCCATCTCCGTGGTAACTAAGACAAGATGTAATGAGTTTAACTTGCAACGCGAGATTTATGTTGAACCATAGGGACAAACCTTCCATTAGTAAGAATAAAGAAGCACTGAAATAGGTTGCCAGAAATGCTGCAGAACCTTAACAATTCAGATCTATAGAGAGACAATGCTATAAATAACAGCAGCATTGTTACTTTAAATAAGTATTGTGCCTAGGAATCAAATGCTACACTGTCTGAATCCTTAACTATTTTAGTCACAAGAACAGTCACTGGAAGATGATGTAATTACGTTCATCAGCCACAATATTATGCAGTAATATTGCAGTTGGTTTTAGTCAGATCAGCAGCACAGCACTGCCAGCTTGATAACTGATTTATTTCAGATTCTGTGCTGGTTTATAAATGTTTTGGAAGGAAACTTACATCTTAATCCACATCCATCTCCAGGCCTACTAATCATAGTTTTTACAACTATTTTAAATCTTTGTAAATATGCTTGTTTAATTGAGGGAATTAGAGTGCACAGCAGAACTATGGAAATTTAAAAAATTAGATTTTTGTTTGTTTGTTCCTCTGGATGAACTGGATTGGAAGTAGGTTCTGGAACTTTTTGTGGTTTGTTTTGTGGTTGTTTTTTTTTTTTTTCTTGAGACCACCTGTTAAGGCATGAACGAGTCATCACTCATCAGCTTTTAAATCACATTTTTCAACTTTATTCTGTGCTTTTATTGATGGTTGTTCTAGGATCCTTATTTTAGAATGACGCGAGATGTAGCACCTAGAATTGGACAGCCTAAACCAGCCTTACTGCACTCAGTCTTCTTCCCAGCCCTGCAAGGAGCACAGACAAAAATGAGTGCTAGTGACCCAAACTCCTCCATCTTCCTCACTGATACACCCAAACAAATCAAGACAAAGGTAAGGGTGTGCAAAACTTGTTATAAAGCACAAAGCTTTATAACAAAGAGTGGTGGTGCTCACAGTTAAAATGGCAATTTTTTTAAGTTTTCTTTGAACATATCTGCATCCTTTTTTCCATACATTTCATTGCAAAGCATCTTCAGGAATTGACTGAGTTATGCAAATTTAGCTAGATTATAAAATATAATATTTTGCCTTGCCAACTATTCTAACAATACAAACATTAGCTAGATAATGTACAAAACATAGTGTTTGTTTATCTGAAATCTACAAAGCAGCGGTATAAGAATAAATGTGGTGGAGGCTTATGCTCTAAAAATAAATATTATGTTGCCATAGTTTTGAAATCTGACGGTTCATGATGTAAATCAAATAAACAACTGTATCTTGACTGCCTCTCCATGCTGGGAGCACCAAGTGTTGCACAGTGGCAGTTACAACACAGGTCAGACTTTTCCTGCTGCTTGGGGACCTGCTGGTTCCATGCACACCTCCCTTCAATTCACAAATAAGTAGTATGTTTAATTTCACCTAAGTTTCAGAAGGGATGTTTTCTCCTGTCTGAATATATTCCTAGTGCCCCTTCTAGCTCAAAGGAAAATCCCTCTTACCTAGTGTCAGATGATTTAGTTTGACAAAAGTTTACCTGTGTTGTGGTATTTAAAAAAAATTAATAAAAATCAGTCTTTGGAAAAGGATTTATAGGCATGATAACCAAACATGAAATAACTATCTGTCAAAACAAGAAAAAATATGTATATGTTGTTTCTGCCGAGTGGGCTTGGATTAATTCTCTTATGGTTGACAAACCCATGTATAGGTCAGATTCTTCTGCAGTCATCTCATAATGTTTTATTGTCTTACATAGGAGCTGATTAAACAATACCGTTCTGAAAAATTTGAATTCTTCATGTCTTTGGATTATAATAATTCCATTTTATTTGCACAGTTACACCATAGCTTTTTTAAAAAAGCCTATAATATCAGAATAGAGGATACATGGTTAGTGGTAATGTTGGTAATATTCTTCCATTTTTTCCTGGCGAGTAGCTAGTAATCTGCAAAGAGATACAAGAAGCCTTATGTCCAATTGATAAGTCCTATTTCTGCTATCCTTAAACTACTTAGAAAAATAACAAAATAATTCTACCTATTTGGAATATAAAAGCTATAAAGATAAAATTCTGAACATAATGTAAATTATTGAGTAATGGAGGACAAACTGAGATTTGTTTCAGCTTCTGAAACCCATGGGAAAGTAGTCTTTATGGAAATAGAGCTTGAATGAAAGATGAAACATTATGGCAAATAAATAAAAAATTAGAGTAGGAAAGGTGACTTCTGGTGATGGATGAAGGTTAAAAAGAGAGTGCCACTGCAGCACAAAACTAAAATTACTGCTTATAGCATTTTTCATATCACTAGTGCATTGTTAAGTAATGATGTTTAAAACTTACAGGTAATAGAAGATAAAAAATTATTAGATATTGGGTAAGACTGAGAAGCTTCTGGGAAATCCAAGGAGATGACTGGCAATATTATAATATTGCCAATATTCTTATTTCACATATCAGCACCAAATTACAGCTCAATTATTTACTTGTTTTCCTAGAAACTGTTATTTAGATTGCAAGTCTATACTAATTCAGGGAAAAGATCAGTGCATCACTATAGATAAATCTTTGAAACCCTCAGTCAACGAGTAGGTGCCAGAATAGGTAAAAATTGAACATAAGGTTAATATAGGAAACATTTTGTATAAAACAGTAATGCACCTTCACCTGGCATATGGTATTTAATCCCTCTCACTTTAATAAGAAGGCAAACTATAGGGATGAGGGACACAGAAAAAAAATCATACAAAGACTTCCAAAATCTAGTAAGGAGACAGGTGAGAAAAAGTGCAAAACTGTGTAAAATCTTAGTTTGACAGGTACTAAGCTATTCAGACTGTCTTACAATGTAAGAATAGATGTAACGTGACAGATGGAAGTTTAATTTCTTAAGATATTCATCAGTGCATCATTTTTGTATGTAACTCATTGCCCTAAGACATCATCTGTAACACAGGGATTAGAAAGATTCAAAAAAGAACTAGACGGTCATAGTCATAATAAGAATGTTCAGAAATTGTCAATATGTAACAATTCCTAGATACCAGAACTAAAAAAAAAAATCTACTTTATATGCATGTGTGCCTCTTGGTTGGTTACTGATGATATCTGGAAAGAAACGAGAGCCAAATGAAAGCTCAGCTTGTGGTTGGGAAATACTATTTTTCCTCTTCCTGGCAATTTATTTTCTTTAAATTTGTAGGAAGGTTAGCATCCCCTGAGAATTCTACACGTGTTCTGAATTTACTGGGAATGGGATTAGCAGGTAGATCTATTCACCAGTGCAGTTCATCTCCCCATAGGAAGCTGTGCTTAAAAAGAGAGAGAAGAGTCAGCAAATATTCCATTTTTAGACTGAACAATTGGGCATTTGTCTAATTTTAGCCATTCTAGTTTTGTAATCTTTAACTTTGCTTTCTCTTCTTTTCCTTTTTCTTGAAAAGAGGAAGAGACTAGATTCTCTCTGAAGAGTTCTTCTAAATTCTCCATGCCATCTTCATCTCTTTCAAAATTAATTTCTCAATGGAGTGAATATTTTATTTTTTTCTTACATGAAGTACCTTTTCCTGTAAGCACAAATTCTACCCAACAGACAACAGCTTCAGCAAAAGGGACTTAAAACTTTTTTGACTGAATCTTAGGTGGGTTATTTTTATTTTTTGCTTCCTTTTTGTTCTGGTTATGCAGTCTGGGCAGTATGTATATAACCCCTTTTCCTTTCTGGATTCTAACAAACTCCTTTTGCCTCCCTGCTTCAGTCCTGAGGTTCTGCATTGACTTGCCCCACTCACCCATCAGCCAGTCTTTGATGTAGAATTTGGAGGATCATGATGCACCTCTGTTTACAATATAATAATCCAGAACTTAGTAGAAATTATACCATAAAATGATTATGTTGTTTCAGATTAACAAGCATGCCTTCTCGGGAGGCAGAGATACTATTGAAGAGCACAGGAAGTACGGAGGTAACTGTGATGTTGATGTGTCTTTTATGTACCTGACTTTCTTCCTAGAAGATGATGACAGGCTTGAACAACTGAAGCAGGTAAGTAGCCTAGTTGAAGATAATATTATTCATTCCTCACTGTGAGGACAAGTAACTAAGCAAGTAACTAAGTCCTCCTATGAACCTTCTCCAGGAAGGTAATTGTGTTGTTATTGTTGCACTCTCCATCCCTTACAAGTTTCCATATTAAGACCTCTGTGTTTGTTGCAATGTCCTCCTTTCTCACAGATCATTCTGTCTCTTATTTTAAAAAACAAAAATAAAAAAATAATTTTCCTAGTATTTTCATAAGGATCTTCAACACTCTGTAGGACAGTATCTTCCCTACTATTCAAATGAGGCCACCTTAAGATTAGTGTTGGTTTTAACTGTGTGATACACTTTACCTCTTCCTTATGTGCAAGGTACCTAAATACTCTGCAAAAGTGTTGACTGAGCAAAAGCTCATGTCAAAAGCTTGCTGGTTTTTTGTTTTGTTTTATCATCACAAGAAAAGTAATAGCTATGAGGAACTGATTCATTGATCCCAAGGAAAAATTGGAATGTTGTATTTTCCTTAAACCTATCTGGCAGACTTCTGTCCCTGGGGATAGTAGCAAGGCATTTCACTTCCTTCAGCTGTATGACTGTATGTACCCATGTCACATTGGTTTATGAGCTTTCCCATGATGGGAACAGCTGCAACCTTTTCTCCAACCTTCTACTGTTTCCCAGACAAGAACGGGGTTGGATAGCTACTAATCCACCTGCACACTGTGAATTACCAACTGTAAATATGACTACTGGTGTGAGCATAGATTCTGAGTGTCTTTGCTATGAAGAGGATACTTTAGTCACATCTAATCTCTTACCCAAATGCAATGAGTGAAAAATACAAGAATTTGTACCTCTTATGGTAAAAACCAGCTTAGGGTGACTGTTTATTTGAACTGAGATTCTGGGGAGAAAAAATTTGCAGTTTCCTGCAAATAATTACAGGATTTTCCAGTGAAATTCTTGTGAATGTAGCTTAGTCCATATGACTTGTCTGTCATATATGAAATTGCCCAACTTCCTTAACCTTTCAAAAGGCAACAAGCAATTTTGCAAGTTTTCAGAGTGATACCAGATGATCTTGTAAGACACGTGCTTATTTTTAAGACACCCAAATCTGTATTTGCCAGGGCCAAGCTTTTAAAGAAATACTTGTCACTGAATCTTTTTCCATATAGCACCATATTTAGCAATCAACGCTTTCTTGACAGGCATACACAAGTGGGGAATTGCTCACGGGGGAGCTGAAGAAGGTTCTTATTGAAACATTGCAGCCCTTGATAGCAGCTCATCAAGAAAGACGGAAGCAGGTTACAGATGAAATAGTGAAGCAGTTCATGACTCCACGGAAGCTAGCTTTTGAATTTTGAAGAAATGCATAGTAACTTACCACTTGATAAACCAAAAACGAGTAATTGTTGTCTTCTGTTGTATGTCATCACTCCCTAGTTATGTACAGCCTGCAATCACTGCTTTATAAATATTGCTTTTAAAGAGTTAATTACAATGAATGTCAGAGTACAGGAAAAATTTAAAATAAGACTCATATCTATTTAAAATCAGAATATACAGGACAGAATTGCCCAATCTTGCAGAAAAGCATGTCTGTCAGCATGACACTGTATTTTATTGCATTTCATGTTGAAAATAAAAATAAAACTTCCATTTTGATGATAAAGCCCAACTTGTAAATTGTTTTGGATATGTTGGTAAGAGATATCTCAAATTAATAACTAGTAGCTCCATCTTCTTTTGCCCTGTGTACCTTGGTTTACTAGACTGCATGACTTTTTGGGACACTGGGAACATGCTGCACACAAAAAGACAGTGAATATTACAAAGTGGATTACACAGTGACTTAGAGCCGGGATCAATACGGAAAGAACGGAGATCTGTCAGTTGAACACAAGAGGAAGAATATCAGGCTGGTTTTGCTATCGTCTTCCTCTTTGACTTGAGGCAAGTCACAGAAATCTCACTGTACTTTTGTTTCTGCAGCTATTTAACTGGTCTGACTGCCCCTCGAGGGAGGAGGTTATCACAAGGTTGTAAACTTCCTTCATATTCTCTGGTGGAAGATAGTGTAGAAATGCAAATTTTAGTTTCTAGTTATAAAAAATACTAAGTGTTAAACCATGCTGTGAAAATGAGGTTGATGCTGGACACAAGGATGCTTCTAGTACTGTTCTGTTTTACTACACCAGGTAATTTAAACTAGGGGTTCTTATTTTAAGATGTATTCCAGTGAGAAAATATACTTTATTAAAATACCTCATGTGATATTTAATTATCTCCTTTCTTAAAAGGAACTTCAGTGTCTTTGCTATGATTTATGGAAAAAGAATTCAAATTATTAGCTAATTTATTTTAATATGTACAGTGCTGAATGCAAACTCTTAGATTTGTCTTATATTTATATAGAATAGAATAGAATAGAAAGTTGCTAGCCCAGACATACTCTTATCTACATCAAATAAAAATACCTTTGATAACACAGGTGGGTATTGAGGTGTGGTATTTGCAGATCATTAAAAAATATAAGGAAGGCATTTGAATGAGGTGTGAAAGATTTAAACTTTAACAGGTTCTGTACTGCGGGGGCCTAGTGGACATACACTGACTGTAGCATTCTTTTTTTTAAAAAAGGAAAAAGAAAAGAAAAGAATTTTTTTTAAAAAGCACAATTTTAATTTGACCATAAACCTTTGAAGTCAGCTGATTACACTTGCGTTGTGGGAGAAGTTTCAAGGGTGAGACTTCTCATTGACTTCAGTAGACCTTAGATCAGCCTGTTAGTACATGAGAACGTGCTGAGCTGTTTGTGCTGCCGGGAGCTGGTGCTGCTGCCTTCCCACCAGCAGCAGTTCTGTAACACAGCGTCCATGTCCTCTCCAGAAATGACCTTGTGTTTCTGAGATGGAAATACTTGTGTGCCAAGTTGTATGTGAAGTGCCCCTGTTAGTTTATGTTTGTGCAAGGAACCAAGGAAAGACTGAAATGCAAGGCAAGGTTAGTCCTATTGCATGTGTTTCAAACTTGTGTTGAAAATAGCAATGCTTAGCTTTTTTTCTTTACATGAGCTGGCATCGCTAATCTAATACCATTGACTTGAATGTATTAAAGTAAATGTTTACCAGCGACTGTCTATAACCCACAGACGTAGTATCTCGGTGCTAACAAGTGTTAAAAAATCAGTAGCGAAGCTCTTGGTTTTTAAAGTGGTGGAGCAATTCTTCGAAAAGAAAAATATCTTCTTAAATCATGTAGTAAATAAATTAATTATTGGTTACTGTAGACTTTAATGATGACCTTCCTGTTTTTGCAGTCCACTCTGTCATCTTTAAGGTACATATAAAATGTAAGACTTGACTTTTAAAGGGCTTTTACAAACTCTTAATGCTAATTTTTTCTTTAAAATATTATATACTGATCTGTCCTGCAAGATTTATTTCATTTATTCAGAAAAGGGAAATACGCTGTAGGAGAAACAGTAGTGTGTTCTATTCTAACTAAGCACATGGATTAATTTTGTAACAGCAATTAAAAATCTGGTTTGAAAGTTCTAGAAAGGAAAGTGATAGCAAAATTATTTAGTATTTGTTTACTGAGCAAGCACCTCACTTGAGTCAGATTCTTACAAACATGCTTCTGAAATGATAGTGTTTCTCAGAGGAGTCTTGGCAAATTCCTAAATTTGTTGTAATTACAATTCATGTCCCAGAGGTATTTAAAAGTCAAGACAAGGCAGGCTTCAAGAGCATGTGTGAAATGGCTAAGAATGTTATCAGGCAATGTTCTTACATTTTCCTCAATTTGTTTGTATTTTGTTCATCTCACTGTAATAAAAATGTAGATAAAATTCTGTATTAAAGTTCTTTGATTTTACTCTCTTTTTATTTTTAAAAGGCTTAATTTACACTTACTCTATTTTTGACCTCTCTTCCTGCTTTTTTAGTTAATTTAGTCATCTGATGGAGCTGGTCCTTGTTTTGATGTCCAGTGCCTTTCAAGTAGTGAAATAGGGTGCCTTATAACCCACTCAATCCAGTCCTAGCAGGTAGACTTCAGATCGCTCTCAGACCAAAGTTAATAAGGGTCCTTTTTCCAAAGATTAACTGGTTGCAAGCAAGACTGGATGTTGAATTTCCCAGTGTACAACAGCCAACTCAGAAACAGGGGAAGGTCAATGTGACCCTGTTACAATGACGCTTCAGTAGGTTTGGCATAAAGGCTGGTACTTCAGTGGAGACATGATGTTCCACAGTTGCTGTGGTCTGAAGAGCACAGATTCTGAATGGCTTTGCATGGCTCTTCCACAGTCACCAAGAGGCACGCTGAAACAGCGTGCTGAAACCTACTTGGATATTCATAAACATTGTCAGGGAAAACAGGAATTGTCAGCAACGTGAAAACATGAAGCAGAACATGCCTTCTAAAGAAAACTTTCTTTTTTCCAAGGCCACCAACTTTGTTACTGAAAGAAATCTAGCTACAATCCCTGTAGCAATGTAAACCAAATATTAGCACAGCAAATGTGGTGTCTTCATTCTGTTAGCTGGCCTTCAGGTAGCTAATTTATCAGAATAAATAGTTCTGTGATTATCAGAGTAGCTGAAGGTCAAGGTAATACAAAGAAATTGGAAAATAAAGCAGTCAAGTTCTGAAATCCAGAAGCCAAACACTCAGCTTGGTATGTATGCGCTGAAGTACATAATATGTACAGTGTGTCATGTTAAACAATAAACGGGTTCATAGTTATGTGCCCGTGTTTACAGTACTTACACAGTCACTTCCTGTACCTGTTGGTAGTTTACATCAGCATGAGTTATCGGTGAGTTCTTGCTCTAAGGCAGTTTGTCACCCATACACTGTGTATCTATTTTTTTCCGGTAAAGGCTTGTGAACAGGATGAATTGCAAAGCAGTTACTTTCCTGAAATAAGCTGCCTGAAGATACAACCTGCCTCTCGTGTAGCATTTGTTCAGGCCACATGAGAACCTGCTTTTATGTGGTGATGAATACCCTGAGTCTTACAGTTCTCAGCTCCTCACACTGGCTTCTGCAGTTGTTCCCACTCATTTTTGCAACTCATCTGTAATTCCTGTTTCTTGAAACCAGATGTATTTCAGTTACACCTACAGGAAGAGACATTTTTAGTCATCTGAATGCATGAGTCTATTGGGAAAGCTGAGCTACTTTACTTCCAATAGATATGCTTGTAATATTAAAACTTGTATACTGGAAATAGATGTGAGAATCTAAACACAGCCCTGAACCATAACACAAACTTCAAATGAAGAGTTTATTCATTTTATTCTCACTACAAGTTAAACCACCTACAATATCAACCATGGTGATATCGGCTGACCATGGATGGTATCAACACTGCTTAACAGTAAGTGGTTGTTTAGTCTGATTTGCAGGCATTTTTTTAACTGTCTCTGTTCAGAAGATGTAATGCCTGAGAACAAGGTCAGCTGAGAATAATACAGCATAAAGGAGTTTGATTCCAGGAAACATCCAGGCAGAGCTGGGATAAATCACTACCTAGCTGGGACAGCAATCAGTCAAACATATCCCTCGTAGAAAGAGGTGAGGGTAGTAGACTCGTAAGAACCATGTTAGGAGGAATTTCCAATCTTGAGAACTTAATTAAATCTTCTGTTGTAAGGACTTTGTAACTAAAGGAAGTTTGGTGCTGATGCCCCAAGGTGTAACTGGGGGTAGTAGGTTGCTGAGGCCATAAGCACTTTGGGAGAGATTCCAGTTCAGCATTGGGTGTTTCATTTCACTCCCCTTTAAGGTGATATACTCTGTACCTGCCTGGTCTTTAACTCTGCTCTTGGGTTAACTGCAAGATCTGGATAAACTCTTGACTGAAAAATTATGATGGTGTTTTGATAGCATGGCTGTGAACATGTTTGAAAAGCCAGTTGAAGGCTCAGATTTCAGGAGGACAGTTCTGGAGCGTTTTACCAGTCTCTCTGGAGTGGAAGAGATTCTCTTTAGTCTTTTCTACTAGCACTTGAAATTTTTACACTTGTTCTTTTAGGACAAGATCCTTTTTCATGTGTCCAGAGTAGCTGACAAGTCCTGTCTGCTGCAAAATTTCTGTCAGCATAGTCAAGGCATGCTATCAACTGGTAAGAGTGGCTGTGGACCAGAAGGACATCAACTCTGAATACAGGAACTCCTTTAGAAATATAGTCTTCCTCTCTCCCTCTAAAAAATGTACTTTCAACAGAATTGCACAGGGGTTGGATCCAGTCTGCTCCAGATGTCATCCAAGGATTAAAACAGAGAGAAAAAACATTTATGCTGCTATTGAAGTGGGATGAGCAAATGAAAGTATTCTAGTTTTAGGAACTTTCCTTCTGAAGCAACAGTGTGGGTGTTGGCTTTTTTTTTTTAACTGACATGTTGATGAAGCTTTATACCTTTGTGAAAAATAATAGTTGTTCGGCAAGTCAGAAATTCTATCAAAATGTACCTTTGACAAAAAAAAAAAAAAAGGCTGCTCCTAACCCTGTGGTTTAAAGTGAGAAAAGTTGTAAATCTTACTTACACTCAACAACTTTGCAGTTCTCCTTTAACTTGCCTAACCCCATTATTGCACAGATTTTATGGTAGCCTTTCCTTTGAGAAGCAAAGAGGCTTTGCATGCTTCCAGGATGAGAACAGATGGTCTCCAAAGCTGTGCCAAGCTCTGGAGAGCTGCGGTGCCGTCAGCCTCTGGGAGGGAACTGATGCTGTGGGGCTTTGGGTTGCACAGAGAGAAAAATCACATGGCTCACAAGGACCAGGAACTGTGTCTGGTTTCACTTTCAGTGAGGTCATTAGCATGATTATGTAAACAGACCATGTCTGCCACTCATTAAATAAGGCCAGGAAAAAGCAAGGAGATTCATATTTCAGCTGCTTCCAAAGGGATATAGTTGTAGAGTGCTTGGGCAAAACTACAGCTGAGAAGAAAAAGTTGCTTTTTGAAGCACAAACATGTAAGTTACTCAGTGAATGCAATACAGGCATTACATGTACTGAGCACACGCTGGATAGCATTAAATCTTACACAAACTCCTCACAGCTTTTGCCTTGGTCGTGAAGATTATTTTCTGTGCCAGTAGAAACCAAAATCTCTGATCAGCAGCTTTGTAAAACATAAATATTTGCAAATGTTTCAAGGGCCTAAGCAGCGGCTACAGTCTAAATATATTAATGAGATAAAAGGGGGGTTGTATATAAGTCCAAGACTCCCTGATGAGTTTGTAATCCTATAAGACTAAAACAAACAAAGCCATCAACCATCCAGCTTTGTGCTGAAATGTCTGCCTTCTCGTGCTGTCCCTCAAAGGAGATGGCGTTCCGCAGTTGTTTGTGGATGTTGTGTTACAAAAAAACAAACTAAACAAAATACACCTCTGAACTGAGTGGCACAAGCTATTTTTTGTTTGTATAGTGATCTGTAAATCTCAGTACAGCTTCATACGCTACAAACACCACCATGTTCACAGGAAAGGCACGAATGCAGTTTAAACCCAGTCCTTTGAAGAGCACTTTTGCACCCTCCTTTCTCACGCTTTCCCGAGCACAGTGGACGAGGCCTTTGTACTTGTGCTGGTCCGATTCATCTGTTTGCATCCGTGATTTGAGGACATCCATGGGAGTAGCTAATCCCCAGGCCAGGACTCCAGCGAAACCACCAGAAAGCAGCACAACGAGGAAACCTGCAGGAGTGAAGGGAGGAGCAGTGAGCTCAAGCCTTGCACCGATACAGCCACAAGCATCTCCATAGTGTCAGCTAACTTTGTTAACTTTCATGGTTTTCAGCAGTTATTTTGTCCAGTTCTTGCATTTCTGTGTTTCCAGTGATCTCACACAAACCAGACAGCCTCTCGATTTCACAGCATACTCATTTTGCGCGCATCGTACCGGCTCATGCAGAGACATATCTGCTTTAACACCACACGAACTAGATGTGATGCAGCCTGAGAGCGCTCACACCCTCTTTAGCTGTGTCTACTTATTTCTGTAATTCTCAGGAAGACACTCTTTGCTGAATGCCACCTATTTGATCTTTTCTCAAAGCGGACAGCTGTTTTTTGGAGCCAAATCACAACCAGGAAACTTAAGTGTCTTCACGTTCTGCACCTGGACTTTATTTTCAAGCCCTGGACTGATCCTGTTCTGGGCTCCATGATGGTTCCTGGGGGGTTAGTCCATGTTTAATTTCTAGTTGCATATCCTATTTCTGCACTAAGAGGATTTCATACCTGCATACTAGGCACCAGAGCATGCCATAAACAGCCCTCCTGCAGGGAGAGGACAAGGTGCTGCTGGCACCCACACCGGGAGGGCACAGATGGCCCCGTGACGCCAGGAAGCAAACACACAGCAACCCCACATAAGGAGCAGATCTGCATGAGGTTTTACAGGTACTGGGTGATGTTTGCTGAGAGCATGATTTCCCTCTCAGCATGGTACTAAATAAACCATTTTTGCAGGTAATGCCAGGTGCTTTCTGTTACCTACCTGGTTTATTTTTCCCAGCTGGTGTGAGCCAGTCACACAGAACAGAATAGGTAAGGAAATATATTGCAGAAGAGGAGCAATCCCTGCAGAGTAATGCAGAACAGCCCTTGTAGAGACCCCCAAAACCTTCCTCCTTGGCAATCACCTTCAAACAATGCAGAGACCCTTGGTACTTTGGCTTGGAAACAGGCTGGGGAGATAGGATGGAAGGATGTGGGTTCCTCTGGGTCTGCATGCGAACCTTCGCCACTTCACTAGGGGTCATCAGCACAACCTGTAACATCAGAGGATGCTGGTTTAACCCTTCATGTTTAAACTGTTTTGATCCCCCTCTTGCAAATTCCTTGTCTCCCACCTTTTCAGGCAATAATATTACCTGAAGCCAGCAAGTTCCAGCTTCCCCCACTCTGTCTGTGCTAAAGCTCACCAGGCAGCAGCAGGACATGTGTGTGAGCTGCGCTGTGCAGAGGGGAAGGCAAGGCAGAAATCAACAGGGGATATTAAATACCTGTAACAACTTATTAAACCAGATAGGTATGGAAAGACGTTCTCAGCTATAGGGTAGCATACATCAAGTCTCTTGTATGTATTTGCATTTGGAACCAAAGCCATAAAGACTTTAAAAAAATTAATCTGTGTTAAGTACAGTCATTGCCTGCTGGGAAACACCTAGAAACCTGACCGTCTGGACTGCTCTGTAAGAGGATTGTCTGTGACCAGGCATTCATTTCTGCCCAGCATGCCATCGGGTGCTGGGGTGAACTCTGCTGCATTTGCAGCGCCTGCAGATGCTCAGAGAAACCCATCTGCTTATGGGAAACTGCTCCCGCATTCAGCCTCAGCTCCCTGTCCCAGGATCATGCAAGTTTGCCAGTCAGCAGCACTTGTCAGTGATGAGCCCTTGGGTTTGGAGTCCTGACAAGGCAACACTGTGCACTGTGCATTGCTACAGCGATACCATGCTGGGCTTGTGCAGCCACTGTCAGAACACCAGCCTGTGCTTTAACACGCTGAGTTACGTCTTTCTGACGTCAACATACCGTCAGAGCCACTTGGAAAGTTTGCTGCCCAGGTTGTTTTTCTTCCTTTTTCTGCATTTGCTGCCAAGGTCCATGTAATTCTTAATAGCATGCTTCTAAGTGTTTTGACACTCTAAACCAAATCCAGCATGAGCTGCCCAGCAGGACTCGGCCATGCTGCAGAGCCGACCAGCAAGGGGCCAGCACGGGCAAGAGCGTGACCCACCAGCTTGTTGCAGGCTCCCCTATGGCCTCCCGGACAGAAAACGTTCACTGCTTTTCCAGCTGCCTATGTTTGTGAACAAGATCTCTGTGTTTTCCCTCTGGGCTGTTTACCTACCCGGACAGCACCGGCAGCACCTCCGGCCAGAGAAACATCCAGCTTGGACGGCTTCGCGTCTGCAGCCCCGTATCGCAGCTTGCAGATGGTACAAAGGAAGTTCTTGTACGTGCCAAATGAAACAGAAGAAATCACCGATACCGCGAGGGCTGATGCAGACACACCTTTGTAAAATCCCCAGACCTAGTTGGAAACCAAGGAAAAAGAACACTTTTCAGAGGCAATGGCATGAGAAAGCATCTGCACAAAAACACTGGCCATACCTCGCTGAGCCAAAATTTACTCCCATCTTACAGCTCATCAGCAAAGTTAAATTTCATCCTGACCCTTCTTCCAAAAAATGGTTGGACATAACTGCTGCTAGTGCTCCCAAACTGACAGAGCCAGCCCCGCTTCTCCGAAACAACACATCTGTAACTGGTATCAGCAGTTCTGGTGAGAGGTACCTACTTTTTCTGTCCTGTATGTTTCCTGAATGCAGTGCCAAATCCCATTGTAATGCCTCTCAGTCTGAATTCTCACCTGGGAACACAGGAGCAACTTTAAAATGCAGATATCAGATTAAAAAAAATAAATCAACAAATGTCATAGCAGCAAACCAGATAATTAGCCATAAAATAGCATCAATGAGCAATTTACCTGTTTTTTTAAAAGAAAAGCAGCACAACTAAACAAACTGAAATATATTGATGTAACAAAGATGAAAGCACTGTCATGGGACTAGTTTTCTAAAAAGGCTGGGGGGAAGCAAAAGGGCCTGTTTGTTTTCAGCCTGCAGTCAAGAAATAAAGCTCCAACAGGTACCTTGACTGTGTCCAGCGGATAACCCACTGCTGTGCTTAGACCACCTGAAACAGAGAGTGCATTGGAGATGGTTAACAGTGCACCTCGCAACAGACCATTTTCCCCCATTGCAGGAAGGCATTAGGGGAACAGCAGAAAACCAGAGCTTCAGAACCCTGCTGTTCTTGGCACCACACCTCTCTCCAGCTCTAGTGATGACGTTTGAGCCAAGAATGACAGAGCAAAATGCGCAGATTTCTCTGCATGACCAAGATATGCTCAGAGAAGGAATCTTAGCATTATGGAAAACTCATCAGGAGGAATAACACCACAGTGCAAGCTGGGGCAGGGAGAAACACTGAGAGCACTGCTGAGGGAACGTTGAAGGGATGACTTGTATGATATTGGGTTGGTTTTCCTCCCCCTCTCAATTTAGGCAGTAAAGCACCTTTGGACTATCACCAAGCACCCTCATGTGAGGTGCAGAGCATCCCCACTCACACAAGAGGGTCTTTGAAGAAATTTTGGTTCTCCATGCTTGACCTGGAAATATTAAGGAATAAAAGTAGCAGTCACAAGGGTATCTATAAAGATGAGTGGTCCTCACACATTACAAGTTCTCAGCAATGTGTCTTGAAGACAGGAGAGGTACTCCTGCTGCCTCCTGCATGCCAGGGACTGGGCATGTCCTGTCTGAAGCTTACAAAGCACATCTAGAGCCCTGAGTGAGGAATTCATTGGGCATTAAGGTCCATGGCACTGTGCTGGACTAAGCCTCTGAAGTGCATCTCCTACGTGCAAAAGCAAAGCAAGGAGCAAAAGCCAAGGTTGCTCGGGGCCCTGGCAGGCTGGTGTGATGCCAGGACACAGTACAACTGCCAGCACTGCTCTGTGGTGAGACCACCCGCCTTCTGTCCCTCAGGGCTCAGCAGGATTCAGGGGCAGGGAGGGGTGAGCTCCGGGTGTACACAAAACCAGCACACCCAGCAAAACCAGCACACCCAGCAGCACGCCCCGCAAGCCAGCAGACCACGACCCCCTGCCTGTGGCAGTGACAGCCTGTCCAGCGTGCTGGGAGGGTTTGTCAATCCTCTACCAACACCCAGGCTCATTTTGAGACCTTAAAATAGCCACTGGAGTTGGAGATGCATTAATCGTGTGAGACAAAGTTACTGCCTTAGTGGCAGATAAGGAGAGCAGAAGTGCCCCAGCGTGGACTTCTCTTGGCTGCAGTAACAGACAGATCACTCACCATCCCTGCCCTTATCTCACTGCATTTCTCAGCTCTGATCTAAATGCATCTCTTGGCACATACAACAGATGATAAAGGGGCTGACCAGCCAACTTCCTCCCAATACATCAACTGCCGAGTCATCTGAGAGGAAACTAGGCTGGGGGGCAATGGAGCTGTGTCCATGCGTGTTATTCAGACAGAGATGAAGTTCATAAAAGTGCTGGATGAGCCCTTCAGGGAGCCAGGCAGTCATAGAATCATAGAACAGTTTGGGTTGGAAGGGACCTCAAATCTCATTCAGTTCCAACCCCCCTGCCATGGTCGGGACACCTTCCACTAGACCAGGTTGCTCAAAGCCTCATCCAACCTGGCCTTGACTAGTTCTAGGGAGGGGGCATGCACAGCTTCCTTGGGCAACTTGTTCCAGTATCCAGTGTTACAGTCATGGATAACTGTGCATGTCTGGTGGCTCACAGGCTGGAAACTGCCTCTTGTTTCAAAAACAAACTATACTTAAAAATGTATTAGCTGCTGTGGACATTTCACTAGGCATGTTTACCTGTGATTACATGGCTGCTTGGGAACTCTGGAAAGCTCTACTATGTTTTGGAAAACAGCAGCTGCTGGTGTGAGTCACCAGGAGACAACCCTGAAGTGCATTACTTAGAAGAAAACAACCAACATCATCTTGCTTGCTGAAAAATTAGGTTTGTTCTCCAAAAATCTCTGTGAAATCTGCCACCAGAAAAGTAGCAATGAAGATGAAAAATGGGCCAAGAAGCCACCTTCTGTATTTCCAAACAAAAATGAGATCAGGCTGGAAGAGAGATGGCAAGAGGGAATACATAGGCAGAGTAATGTGGCTCAAAGGAGCAATGGCTCTGGTCTAAGCAGAGAGGGACAAGGCACAAAGTCACCCAGGGCCACCTGCCCTGTCCCAGATTCCCAGCCATCAGCCAGAGGCAGGCTGCAAACACGGACCCCGCCAGCCAGGCAAGAGCAGCACATAAGTCAATGCCAGTATGACAGCGCTGATCTCAGAGCTGCGGTCCCCTGGCCCAAGCACCCTGTCCAACCAGGAGGATTTGGCATCACATCAGTTTCGGACTTCCTGAACCTTAGAGGCAGTGGCCATGGGCTGACCAGGTGCTAACGACACCGAGGCACCACGTGCCTTGCACAGCTAAACCCCGGCTTGCTCCGCCAGCTCAGGAAGGCAGGAGCCTTGGCTCATGCACTTCAGGTATGAAGGCTGATTTGGGTCGATGTTCAACAAGTGTTCTCCCTTCTGGAGAAACTGCCCTGTTCACACATTAAGATGCAGACACAGCAGCAACATAGACAAAATAAAGCAGGTGTGCCCCAGCCTGTTTCCCATTGCTTTTCAGTCCTAAGGGCTCCCACTCAACTTAGTTCCAGTAAGGACCAAACATCTCCACTTGGGAGGGGACCATAAAGGTAAATTTTTCACTGCTCCCACCAAAGTGGAGGTGCGAGCCCGCTAAACCTCCAAACAACCACAGCCTGCCATGAACTGCGCTCCTTAAGAGTCAAAGCACACTGAGTAGTTAAGTTGTCAGAGCTGAGAAGCTCAGCCAAGTCCATCAAAGGCTGAGAAAGAAGGGCTTTGCATAGTGTCTCTATAAATAGCCTGGGACAAAGATAGCATGACCCACACATGCCCTCTTTGCACAGCAGAATTGAACAAGGCCAGCAATGTATAGCATGCATATAGGAGAGGGTTCCTGTGGGACTCCCGCTGAGTAACACTGCACCAGCTGTGACAAAAATAAATATCAGAATCAGGTGGGTGAACTTTGTTTGGTTTAGTCAGCTGGTTTTTATGCCTACTTTCTCTGAGATGTTCTCAGGTATTGTGCAGAGGTTGCAGCATCCCCTACACGCACGCGCACAGAGTGCAGGTACAAAACTGGATTACTCTCAATCTCTTCACAAGTCAGGGCACTTTGACCGGGCAATTTGAATAAGGAGGGGTCTTGGCAGAGTGGCCACCACAACAGTAATCATCAGAGAGCAAGCAGTAGCTGTATGGAGCCCACTACGCTGCAACAGCTCCAAGCTGTTGGCAAAACCCTGGCTGAGAGACCCAGGGAGAAGCAGGGATCATGGTCCATACTCTGGATGGATAGACAGCAACTTCCAAAGATCTTTGTTTTGTGAAGAATTGGGAACATAAGAAGTGTCCCATACCTTAAACAAGCTGAACTCCATCCAGTAGCGTGACCCTGGCAGTGGCCAGCAGGAGCTGCTTTAGCTGTTAGGACAAGGAGACAGCATGTTCCCTCTGTAGGTGGACTATTTTATCTACCTTTGGACTGCATGTGACTGGTGTGTAATCTTGCAGCAAGATGTGGAGAAGCCCGGGCATGCTGCAGACCCTGCTACTCTACCACCACTGAGTGAACCTCAGCTTCCCCTTCCCAAATCCTTATGCCTGGCATGAGAGTCAAGTCATCCCCTAGTCATCAAGAGCCCTAATTGTCAGTACCCATCCCCTGCCGTGGCCCAGGCTGCTGCCATAGCAGGGCTAGAAAACACATATGGGAGCATAGGAAAATTTAAGTTGGAAGAGATCTTGGGAGGTCTCCAGTCCAACCTCCTGCTCAGCATTATTCTCCAGGAAGGACATCCTTACAGATGAGCTGCTTTCCACAACATCCAGCCCCATTTGGAGGTTATTGAAGGGCTTCAGTCACTAAGCATGTTTCTCTTATGTTTTTTTCCATCTGGAGTCCCAGCAGGTCACTGTTTCCTGGGGTGAAGATGCTGAGCTTGTCCCACGGCCACAGAAGCAAGAGCTCAGAGGAGATGCACAGTATTTGTGGAGGTGCCTGAGCCAGGCTGGATCACTACATGGGATGCAAATGGGCAGCACTTCTGCTGTTTTTCAGAGATGCTTAAGCCATGCTTTCTCCACAACACTCTGAAAACAGAACAAGGTCACGAGAATGTAATTTACTAAAGAGAAACTCTGTTATTATCTGTGGTGCCTGTTGAGTTGTTTGATGCACTTCAGCTGGGTTTGTAGCCGCCTTGGGAACACAAAAAACTGCTTCAGCTCTAACAAACACAAGCCATGAAATAAGCTCAACACCACAAACATCCCAGTTCTTGAAGGAAAGCTGTCCCACCCCTGGAAGCTATCCTGTGTCAGGGTAGGGACTATGGCTCTGAAGCTTTGCTCAGGTACCTCACACATGTCTATGTGCAAGCTCCCAGCAGGGAACAACATGCCAGAAAATACCTCTGTCTGCCAGTGACAAGGTTGCGTTACCCCTCTTAGAAAAGCCCTGAGCTGGTCACAGATGACAGGATGGAAAATCTTGCTTTCTGACACCTTGAGGTCCAAGTGCCTTAAAACAAGCAAAGACGTTTCTGGTTCCAGCTGGAGCTCCCCAGCCTGCATCCTCCCAGGCTGAGCCTGTTTCCAGGGCACCCATGGGAAGTGCTTCCTGCACAGACAGGCAGCATGTGATGCTGGAGCCCGGACAGAGGGGCATCACACAAACCACAGCTTTGCATGGGAGCAGGGCAGCATGCCGAGGTGAATGGCCACTTTGAAACTCTGTTTTCAACTCTCCACATTTCCTTTGCAAAAGAAGTTTATCCTTAAGTGGCCCAGCTCCAACTGTGCCAACAAAAGCAAAGGAGTCCAAGCAGCGAACGCAACTGCCGCTGCCCCACCATTAACATGAAGTCTCAGAGGAGTTTTGGTGAATCCCTCTGGGATGGACATCCCGTTGCCAGTCCAAGCACAGGGCTCCCATCTCCACTGGCTGCTCTGAAGTTAGCAAGGAAAGGAGAAAGGCAAGCTGTCATGGAGGGACTGGTTATATGCCCCCTCCCATGAAGTGTCCTTCCTTAGCCAGGCACCCAGCACCCCAGGAAGGCTGACCGCCTGCGTAACAAGGCATCTCCAGGCTGGATGCTGCTGAGATGCCAGACCTCACCCCACTTGCACATTTTGGGTGATGAGAAATGAGGGGCTGCAGGGTAAAAATCATCATGGCCCTTCCCAGGAAATGGCACATGAGGGAAACTGCCAAATTTCAGCAGATCTCAAAGTGAGAGCCACCGTGCAGGCTTGGGCTGGGCATCTCAGCCGTCTGGCAGGTTTACCTGCAGTGGTACCCCATGGCTTTTGTCTTGGTATTTGATACTCTGCTAAATCTGACAAGATTTCAGAAAAGAAATGGGATCAGTGGCTACATTTGTTGTTGAAAACAAAGCTGGGTTTAAGCAGTACATGCTCTAAAAATGTCTAGAATTAAATGACACTTTTCTCCTTTTCCTTTTTTTACACACAGCTAACCTACTTTCTCCCAGATCAAAGCCTACTGCGTAGCAAGCCTGCACTGAAATTACCATCACAACCGCAAATACATCTTAATCTAAGATAATGTACAGGTCATTCATTCAGACCTTCTTCACTGCAAAAAAGCCGTGCCTCCACCCCTCCTGTCTCAGAAATCACATCCTCAGCCCTCCAGAGCCGTGATGCCGACAGCCTGCCAGGACCCCCAGGCACCAGCATGGGAGGTTTTGCTGGCTGGGCAATACTAACCAGTTTGTATCTGCACACAACATATTCCACTTTATCTCTTCCCATCAGAGTTTTGCCCTGTCCCGCTGCAACTGGACTGGAGAAGATTGCAAGGCAATGACCTCAGCTGACCAAATTGCAGTGCTGCCTCTCCAGTAGCTCTGTGAACCTGCTCTGATGACATTTTCAATTTAATAAAGAAGAATGCACTTTTAACAAGCAGCCCCCATGGAAAGACTCTCAGCTCTGCCATTGAGACCTGCCCATTAGATGAACAAGAAGGAAACACAGTGATCTGCTTCCACCACCAAGCACTACTTTATGTATTTACCTCCAATGGCCCCAGCAATGAAATCCATCCAGACCGAGTCTGCTGCTTTAATGACCCTGATTAAGCGTTAGGGAGGTAGAAGAAGGGAGGATACCAGTTCCGGCTTTCCAGAGCCCCGCAGGTCCTTCGGAGACACTGTGATTTGCAATATAAATCAGCTTCCTACTGTCTTCTCTCGCCTCTGGCGATTGTGAATCTTGTGGATACTTAATGAGTTTGTACACTGGAGGCAGAGACGGGAAGCCTGGAGCCATGCCAGGAACACAGTGAATAAGTAATCCCGTGAAGCCCTGCAACGCTGTGCCAGAGCTGCTGTTCCCAATGCCCTTCTGCTTGGAAAATCACAAGGGGTGGTGCCTTGCAGGGTAACGCTGGCTGTGAAGGGCCCATTCCTCGTTGTACTTATTAACCCCAGAAGACAACCTTGCACATCTGTCTGCCAGAGGACACTCTTGTCCTGTGCCATGGAGAAGTGGCACTGGTGGCTGTGTTTGAGCTGCCTCCTCCCTCCATCCCAGCCCACCCTTCATCCTTCTGCTCTAGCAGACCCCCTTCCCATGAAGAAAAATTCCTCGTGCCCTTCCCAAGGAATTTTCCTTGGCTTTCCTAATTCACACAAACAACCCTAAACCCCTACCCAGATCCCCATGGTTTATTACCTGGTCATTGTGTATATAGGTGGTGAAGTCCAGAAATTACTCCAACCACATACAAAGTGTTTCCTTCTCTTTTAGACCACAGGGTAGTTTTCCCAGCCCCTGGAGGAGCTCTGCTTCTTCACTTCTTGCTCAGTCTCCCAACTCCCCTTCCGATGTCAGCTCCTTGCTGTGTTCAGCAGCAGAGCAGGAATCACTGTTGCTGCTGCCCATACTCCAGTGTTTTGTCCTGCAGGGGAGTTGGGAGATGGATTTTGCCAGGAGATTGCTCTAGCACCTAATTTTTTCTTCCTAATTCACACCCAGCACAGGGTGGTGATCTCAGCAGGGGAAAGAGCAAAGCACAGAGAGAGACCTGCTGGTCAAGTGGAACCAAGAGCTCAAGAAAATGCCACATTAGCTATTTTTGCACAACAGCCCCGTACTGGAGGGCTGCCTTATGTACACAGGAGAGGTTAAGTTTTGCCCAGAGTGAACCTGGAAACCAAAGTCCTGATACAGTGAAGGGCTTGCCAAGTCATGACCTGAATTGTACTCCTCTTGAAGAGGTTTCCCCAGGTCAGACCCAAGGCACATTGGCAGCAAAGGGAAAAGAAAATTTCACGGCTGCTGCCCTCCTGGATTGGCTTCACAGAGAAGCTGAGGACTTTAGTCCCCAGTGCTGCCTCCCGCACATTGCACAAGAATCTATTTCTCACTGAAGTGCATATTTTGGATGGTCTGATGTGTCAGTGACATATAGCACAGCTCAATGTGAGGGTTCACAGTTTCTGGGAACTGAAAATTAAAGGATTTTAGCAACTTCCTTCTCATAATTTCTTACACGTTCTTCCTTGAACACTTTCTGCACTAGAGAGAACAGTTTATTCCAGCGTAACCTCATGCAAGGACAGCAAAAACTTAAAACCAGAAGTAAAATATTATCTAGAGAGATAGCAATGTAGCTGCTAAAACACACTGGGTTATTCAGTAGCCCTTCCTTGTTACACCTGGTGACAATACTGGAGTTATTAACGGTTCATCAACAGTCTGTACGTGCCAAGTGCAGGGAAAGGTGCTGTTTTCACTTCTCCCACCAGCCATTCTGGGCTGATGTCCTTGTGGCCTCCTCCAGTAGTGGGACCAGGTGTGGGATCTGCCGCAGCAGTGACACATGGGGACAAGGACACAGTCCCCTGCAGACGGGCAGCCTAGGAGCCTATAGCCTCCTGGTTCCCGCAGGGATCAGGCAACACCTGGAATACTGTGTTCAGTTTTGGTCCCCACTATACAAAAAAAGATGTGGACACACTGGAGAGGGTCCAAAGAAGGGCCATGAAGATGATCAAAGGACTGGGAAGCCTACCATATTGAAGAAAGGCTGAGAGACCTGGGTTTGTTCAGCCTTGAGAACAGAAGGCTTAGGGGAGACCTCATCACTGTGTTCCAGTGCTTAACAGGTGGCTACAAAGAAGATGGAGACTCCATTTTTGCAAGGAATGACATGGAAAAGAAGAGGGATAATGGGTACAAGTTACTCCTGGGAAGATTCTAATTATACATAAATTTTTCACAATAACAACAATCAACCATTGGAATAATCTCCCCAGGGAAGAGGTGGGTTCCCCATCATTGGACACTTTTAAGATTCAGATGGACAGGGTGCTGGGCCATCTTGTCTAGACCATGCTTTTGTCAAGAAAGGTTGGACTAGATAATCCTTGGGGTCCCTTCCAACCTGGTATTCTATAATTCTACGAACCTGCCAAGCCGCTCCAGCCTGTGCTGCAGCAGTCACCACCGCCTTCAGGACAGCTGCACTGTTTAATATTGCTTTTCTGGGACCTGCTTTCAGGCAAAGTGAAGAAATTCATGATATTTCTAGTATGAAAGTGTTACCATGTGTTCCCTCCCATCACATGGCTGGGTGTGTCATGTTGGGAGCGTTTTTCTACATATTGCAGTGACTGGTGCAATATCAGCAAGAAAACAGGGACTGGCTGCCATGTCACACTGGGTGACTAAAGGGTCAGGGCTAATAAGTATTTCCCATGAAATGCCACAAGACCAAGCAAAATTTCTGCCTTTAGCTGAGCTGAAGGCTCAAAGGGAATCTTCCTCATGAAACTTCTTCAGATTGTAAAAAAAAAAAAACAAAACCAAAAAACCACCAAGCCAAAACCTTGCCTTTGCAGCAGAAAATTAACCCTTTTTTATTATTTTAACCTTCATTCACACCAACACTTCTATCAAAATGTTAGTTTGCTTTATATAGCACAAAGCTTACTCCAGATTCAAACATTTTGATAACCTTCTGATAATGGTTTTGGGCACTTCAGTGAGGTATACCAGGAGAAGTCATGTTTTCCACTTGACTGCAATTGCTCTGCAAACAGAGGTTGTTCCGAAGGTGGCCATCTGACAGAGGAATATTCTGGGGCTTGAGAGTTTTCACCTTGTCCCATGAAGTTGTCACTGGGGGCAGCTGGCTCTGGAGGAACGCATGCACACGGCTACTTTGGGGACATTTGCCTCAACGGGAGCTTAGCGGGGTAACATAAGCCCCAAGCAAACACAGTCGCCGCTGCTGTAGTCTGCAGTCCTTTGCTCCCAGTGTCTGGCCAGGACTTCGAGGCAAACAGCGTCCACTGCCACACTCATCGGCTGTGTGACCCACTCAGCCCAGCTGCCATGTGACAGTAGTGAGGGCAGAGCCTTCTGGAAGAGGAGCCACACGCAAGCGTTGATCTGTTCACACACAATCAAGTATGGAGGAAGGTGTAATTCAGCATGAAGGAAACCCCATCTGGGAAATGAAAGCCATGTTCCTGCATTTGCTGTTCCTTGCTGGCACATCCCAAAGAGTGCAGATCAACTCCCTGCTAAAGGGAGCAATCCTCAAGGCAGCAATTCAGCCTCCTTTACCAGGAGTCCTTCTAGAGGCATAGAGTCCTTGAGGTCTCACTGTCCTTCACACTTTGCTGAAAGAGGTTCCTCTTTCATCCTCTCTTCCCCAGGTTTCAGAGACGTACCAGCTCTCAGATACCAGACTCACTAGAAACACTCACCAGAATCCAGCCCCCCAGTGCTACAGGTCAACAGAGGCAGTCCAAAATATCCAGCCCAAAGAAATACTGAATTATCAGGGAGATCTTCAAGATCAAATATGAGTCATTACTGTCACCCTTTGACACAATGTCCAAGGACTGACAGAGATCACTGCTAGTCCA